CATACCAGAAAGTTTTTTCTCCAAATTTCCTGCATAAATTTGCGGTAGATATACACAGAGGCAAGGATGAAAATTTAATAAGACTGCTAGAGACATAAATACACGTGAAATGCGAAGTAAAGGTGCAAAAACCATTTTATGTATACGTTTATACATGAATATAATATATATATATATACGCATGTACATAATATATATATATATATATATATATATGTATAATAGAGGCTAAGTTCAAAGAAAAAACAGTGGATTAAAAGTTGACAGGTGATAAAAAGAATGCCAAAACAAGAAGTGTCATAAAGGCTGTTGGGATGTACATACACACTACTCTACAGTATTATAGCGTTGCTTCTAAACCTCACCCTTCGTTTTCACTCCCATACTTGAAGAAGAGGAAGTGTCATTAAGGCTATTTTTGGATCAATTTTTGTCTTTTATTTTTGTATTTTAAAAGTATTTTTATATTCAAACGGATAAAATAAAAAATATTTTTTTAAAATAATAAAAGTTAAAATATTTTTTAAATAATTTTATACATAAAAACAATAATCTCTCTTCTAAAAATAAATTTAACTTTTAATATAAATTAACGTAAAAAAATTATATAATTTTCTTTCTTTTATCTATAATTCAAGAAAAGGAAGTACATAAAATTCAATATATACACACTATTCTACCCCATCAAGTTGCTCAAACCCAGACCTATCCTTTTCACTGCCACACTTCAAGAAAAGAAGAAGTTAATCAAAACTTTGTTTGCAGTGATTTTTGGTTTTAATCTTTATCTAAAAATACTTTTATAATTAAACAAGTAAAAGAAGATATTTTTCTTGACGAAAGTCAAAAATTAAAATCTACTTTTGTTAATTTTAAAGAGAAAAGTTATAATTTATAAGTTTTGAAATTTGATTTTAACTTCTAATAAGAATTTATGGTTATTTCTATAATTTCCTCTCCCTTTTTCCTCTTCATCTTACTTGTTTATATATGGTCTCTAAAGGCAGCTACTTCCTATAACTCTCTCTCCTCTTTTCCTCTTCGTCTTCTTCTAAATTTTGTTATATATGGTCTCTGCTACCACTACTGCAGCAACAGACAATCCATGTCCATGTCTTCTTCTCCACGTGCTTTTTCATTTCGTAACGGCTATCTAAACCAAAACCCTGTAACTCTCTTCTTTTTTTCTGCGCTATAATTCACCAACATTTCGTCCTCTCACTCACCCTCTCAATGGCTTCATACCATTCTTGCTTCCCTCCCTCTTCCTCTCTCATTTTCTTTTAAAAACCTCTTCTTTTCCTTTTTCTTCTTCTTCTTCTGGGTCAAAATGGCTTCAGTTCTTCGATTCCGAAAGCTATGCTACGTAGAGCCAGTATCTTTTGGGTATGCCAAAGTTGAACAGAAACTAGACAAGAAAAAAGATAAGCCTCTCCCTCCGACGACAAGAACCGCCATAGAGATAAACAAGAACAGGAAGAGGCAGCACCAGCAACAACAATGGAGGCGAATAGATTCCTGTTGTTGGATTATCGGGTACATGTGCACTACTTGGTGGCTTCTGTTGTTATTATACTACTGTTTGCCAGCCACCTTTCCTGGTTTTCAGATCCCTGAATCTCCGGGAACAAAGCTTAAAAGCGAAGGGTTGACGGCTCTGCACCCGGTCGTGTTGGTTCCAGGCATTGTGACCGGTGGGCTGGAGTTATGGGAAGGCAAAACTTGTGCTGATAGTCTGTTTCGAAAGCGGCTTTGGGGAGGTAGCTTCACTGAAATCTTCAGAAGGTATATGTTAATATAACTTGTTTGGATCCGGGGTATAATCTGGTTGACCATTTGTGAAAATTTTGACTTAAATTTGAATTGAATCAGGCCACTGTGTTGGCTGGAGCACTTGTCTTTACACAACGAGACTGGTTTAGACCCACCTGGGATCCGAGTTCGAGCTGTTCCAGGTCTGGTTGCAGCAGATTATTTTGCACCGGGATATTTTGTCTGGGCTGTTTTGATTGAGAATTTAGCTAAAATTGGGTATGAAGGGAAGAATCTTCATATGGCTGCTTATGATTGGCGACTCTCTTTCCAAAATACAGAGGTATTTAATGGCTCCTTTTTTTCTCTTCCACTATACTCTCTCTCATAATCACAAGTATAATGATCTCATTTGCATATAGAACCATGGGTGAATCTTATTCAATTCCTTTCATTATTTGCATTACAAATGAACCAAATTGTAAATTGTATAGCAAATTAATCAAATGAATATATGGAGCAAGTGATTTGGATTCAAGTTTTTGACTAATGAACTTGTAATTGGAGAAGGGGTACAGATCCGGGACAAAGCTCTTAGTAGATTGAAGAGTAAGATTGAGGTGATGTATGTAAGCAATGGATATAAGAAGGTAGTGGTGGTGCCCCATTCCATGGGTGCCATCTATTTTCTTCACTTCATTAGATGGGTTGAAACACCTCCTCCGATGGGAGGTGGTGGTGCTCCTGGTTGGTGTGCCAAGCACATCAAAGCTATCATGAACATCGGTCCGGCATTTTTCGGTGTTCCAAAAGCTGTTAGTAATTTATTCTCAGCCGAGGGAAAAGATGTTGCCTTTCTCAGGTTAGCCTCTGCACTTTTCCCCTTTCAAACTAGCCAATTCATTTTTTTCTTTTCCTAGTATGACTTGATTTGGACTAAGACCGAAATGAGCAGATCATTCGATCAACTTTTCTTCGTATCAATGTCCATATTAGTCAAATAGACAATTTCATATATTGGATAGAGATTAGCTAAAACTCATGCCTTGTCAAAAAAGATTTTGATTAAAGAATTTTAACATTCAGCATGATGATCATAGTTGTACAAGCACTAAGATAAATTTATCTACGTCATCATTACAGATCAATTGCACCGGCTGTTATAGATTCCGAGTATCTTGGGCTGCAAACTCTTGAGCATGTCATGAGGGTGTCTAGGACTTGGGATTCAATTGTGTCATTGATTCCCAAAGGTGGAGAAACAATCTGGGGTAATATGGACTGGTCGCCTGAAGAAGGGCATGTTTGTGATTTGGCCAACAAAAGACTTTTACAGCCCTCTTCAAGTGACAATAATAACATCACCAACAGTGACATAAAAAGAGGTTTTCGAGTAAAAGAACCAGTCAAGTATGGGAGGATAATTTCATTTGGTAAAGGGTCATCTCAGCTACCGTCTTCACAGCTCCCTACTCTTGATTCCAAGGTACTCGCTTCTACATTTTCTTTCTTTTGTTTCTTTTCTTGACAACTTGAATGAGTTAGACTTGCACCGAGATTAGAAAGAGGCTATTGGGAGTTTCTTCAATGCACAAACATGAACTTGTTTATATTTGTTGGCGATGCTAAAAACATTCATTAACAGGATTTTATTCGTACTGCAAATGTAAATTCACCATGCGGAGAGGTTTGGACTGAGTATGATGAGATGAGCAGAGAAAGCATCCACAAAGTAGCCGAAGGCAAAGCTTATACAGCTACGACTCTTCTTGATGTGCTCCGATTTATGGCTCCGAAGATGATGCAACGATCCGAGGCTCATTTCTCTCATGGCATAGCTGATAATCTAGATGATCCTAAATACAACCATTACAAATACTGGTCTAATCCATTAGAGACAAAGTGAGTACAAGAGAATTCTCTTCCTTTTTTTCTTTTCAAATTTTAGTTATATACTCAAGGCTTATATAACTCTTTACTACAATCTTATTTATTTTATCTCATCATTTCTTGATTCCTCAAAGGTAATTAATTGGCATACAAATTGAAAACCTATTACAGATTACCAGATGCCCCTGATATGGAAATACACTGCATGTATGGAGTTGGGATTCCCACGGAAAGATCATACGTATACAAGAAGTCAGCTGCTGATTATAAGTGCAACAGCATTCCATTTCAGATTGACAGCTCGGTTGAGGGAGATGATCAGAACAGCTGCCTGAAAGGGGGAGTATACTTTGTGGATGGGGATGAAAGCGTTCCAGTTGTTAGTGCAGGATTCATGTGTGCAAAGGGATGGCGAGGCAGAACTCGTTTCAATCCTTCTGGCATTAGTACATACGTAAGAGAATATCGACACAAGCCTCCAGCCAGCCTTTTTGAAGGGAGGGGTGTAGAGAGTGGAGCTCATGTTGACATAATGGGAAATGTTGCCTTGATCGAAGACGTATTAAAGGTTGCAGCCGGAGCCATTGGCAACGAGATAGGAGGTGATAGGATTTATTCCGATATCCTAAGGATGTCCGAGAGGATAAATCTTCGGCTTTAAGAGTGCTTGATGAATCCATAAAACAAACGAGGGATAGCCAAAAGTAGAGTGAATTAACAATAGAACACATGAGCTTCATGAAATACTACTGAGGGTGGATTGGAGGCTTTCTGGGTTGGAAGTAAATGGCTTTTGAGGTCAGATTCTGGTAGATGTGAAGGTTGAGTTTCTTACTGGCCAAAAAAAGCTTCCCAAATCTTTTCTTTACCTTCTTTTTCTGACTCCTTTCTTCTTAGTGTTGCAATTTTATCATGTAAACACCCAATAATGGAGAACTAAATCTCCTTTTTTTTTTTTTTTTTTTTTTTTCATTTTTCATGTAAACAAACAATAATGAAAATTTTGTATCTTTTTTCTTAATTATTATTTTTACATAAATTATCGAAAGAAAATTGTTTAAAATTCGTATTAAATGAAAAAATTAGCGAACTGAATTTTTGTATATCAAAAAAATTGTTATAAAATTAATAGGGTGAAAGATCTTTCATAAAATAAATAAATAAAATAAAATAAAACAAAAATAAAATAGCTTATAAAAAGATATTAGTTGTATTTTATGTAAAGATATTACTTTTGTCTTCTACAGCAAACACAGGATTAAACACTTTTGTAGTGTGTACAGCCAATGGATTTAGTCCTATCAAATGCTATCTACATTAGAAAGTTGAGTTTCTTTTATTTATTTATTTATTTTTTCTCTTCTTTTTATATCATGTTCAAAATAAATTTACAAATTTTTATATTATTTTTAACTATGAAAAGTGTAACATTCCATGTTAATGTCACCTATTATATCATGGTATTGTAATTTTATCATCATCATCATATAATTAAAATAAGTATGAATTAAAAATGAACTAATTTCTAAATTTATTTCAAACATATCATTAGAGATTCACTTGCTTCAATTTAGAAGCTACCATTTGGATTCGCATGATTTTTAAAATTTGTAAAAGGATTCAACTACTTAAATTGTTTATATAAATATATATATCGAATTAAAATAATTTTTTATAACAGATAAAAAAAATTTCTAATATAGCTCTCTCTCTCCGCTGGTGGTTCAGTTTTGCATCTCCAAAGGAATCGGGACGTACCCTTCTTTCTTGTTGTCTTGATATATCTAAGTAGATAGCAAATTATATACAATATTTAAATTAATTTTTTTGGGTTCAAATTAATCTTTATATTTTTAAAATATATTTAAATAAGCCAATTACCATTAAAACAATTTAATACTATTAACTCCTAATTCAGATACAAGATAATTTGGTGATATATTTTAGCCACATTACAGACTACATGGTGTCCGTGTGCAATCGCTATCATTAGATGTCACGTGCTAAATATATATATATATATATATATACATATATCTATATATATAAGTTTTTTTTATTACTATTTAGTTTCTAAGCTTACAAAATTTCCTTCATTTTTAATGCAATAATCATTTTGCGATTTTTTTTTTTCAATTTCTAATCTTAAATTAAAATTTTATATTTTTAAAATATTGTTTTTATCATGCAAATATGAGAAAAAAAATTATTATTTCTTGTAAAAAGTTTATTATATTAAAATAAATTTGTAAATTCAAAATTGTCTTTATATTTAAAAAATTAGAATAGA